GGCGACCAATTCGCCTCGCCTCTCCCAAAGGATGGCGAGGTGGCTGACCTTCTTCGCGGAGTACCGTTTCCGCGTCAAGTACAAGCCGAGCAAGCTCAACGTGCTCGCGGACGCCCTCTCTCGGCGTCCTGACTACGAGTTGGCCCACAGCACACGGGTGACAACGGATCTATATGATCGGATACGCATGGCGTACCGGAACGATGAGGCTGTCGCGCCTATCGTCAAGTTCCTCACGGCTACCATCGTCTGTGGCGCTGTGGAGACGCTCGATCGAATCTCAAGGCTCCAACCTACTTCTGCTCTACAGCAACAAACCATCGAAGGAATTATCGTCGGCCTTGGCCGCTTGCTGCACAACTTTGAAGCTGCTCGCACTCTGTCGGTTGAACTTGGCCTCGCTGAAGTCATTCGCCGCCTGAACGTAACACCAGGCCTCAATGCCATCCAGCCACTGCTCTCCGAAGTTGTGCAGTTGATTTAGATACGATAAGAAGAAGAGCACGTTGTCCAAACATAGGAACGAGCGCGAAGTCCGACTGGCTCTCGTCGTGACAGCGCTCACGGCTCCACCGATATGAGTTGAAGGATGGCCTCCTCGATTACCGGGTGGAGCCCAATGATCCTCCACGGGTGGTCGTACCCAACGACGAGGATATGAAGTTCGATATCCTCGCGGCGGCGCACGACGCGCCCTCCAGCGGCCACTTGGGCCGCGAGAAGACCTTTCTGTCGGTTTCGCAGTCCTTCTGGTGGACCCACATGTACAAGTGGGTCGCCCGGTACGTTAAGGCATGCGAAACATGTCAGCGGGTCAAACCCGCAGGGCATACTTCGGCTCAACTACAGAGCCTGCCCGTACCGGCTGACTGTTGGAAGTCGATGAGTCTTGACTTCATCTTTGGGCTTCCCGCCGACGGACACGGCAACACCGGAATTTAGGTGTTCGTGTGTCGGCTGAGCAAGATGGTACATCTTGCTCCGATTCCCGTCACTGTTACGGGCGAACAAACCTTGCGGTTTGTTCGTCGATGGCGTGTTCCGCTATCACGGTCTCCGGGAGACGATTGTCTCGGACCGAGACCCGCGGTTCACTGCTGCGTTTTGGAAAACGCTGTTTCCTTTACTGGGAGCTCGTCTGCAGATGTCCACTGCGGACCGTCCGCAGACAGACGGCCAGGAAGAGCGCGTCAATCGAGTGCTCGAGGACACTCTGCGCAGTGTGTGCGCGGCAGCACCACGTACGTGGTCGACGCAGCTTCCAGTTGTTGGGTTTGCGCTCAACAACGCGGTGCACGCGTCCACGGGGTTCCCACCGTACTACTTGAACGGCTTCCGTCACCCCAGATGTGCCTCTCACTCTTCGAGGAGACACTGACTCCTCTATTCTACAAAAAAGCCAAATTGTCATAGAAAGAATTCGAAATGACACGACATAGAAAACAGCCAAAAATATCATTAAAAATCCACCCCCATCATTTTTTGGGTACATCATAAAGCCCTATTTCTAAAATTTGGGTACCTCGAGCTCGAGCTCCACAGTTTTTCCCTTGATGATGAGCATCATCGCAATGAGGGATGAAGGTCGCTGGATCATGGTATGGAGTCAGTTTTATTAATAGTACTGAGCCTTGGGGTCAGTGTTTGGCCCTATTCACTGATTCGGTTTCTACGGTAAAGACCTGGGTCACCCAGTGGGTGACTCGTTCGAATGATATCCTTGGGATTGTCACGACAAGCGTGCACCGATGTCAGCTTTACGTTTGCCAATACTAACTCGAGGCTTGCATCGTTATCTTAAAAATATTCTATTTATCCTTTCTCCAACCGGATAACCTTGGAAGAGATAGAGATGACGACAAACGCATTGGCGTACTGCTATCTCGCGTGTGAGTTTCAGCAGCGGGTAATTGATCCATTGAGTTGCAAACGTCCGCGCTTCCGAGTCGTTTTCGAAAAGATACTCCGTTCCCTTGAGGGATTGAAATTGGCGACAAGATGCTTCGCGGCGAGCGTGCAGGGTTATCGAAACTCGTGCGTTTGAGTTTAATGGCGCTACTTTTTAAACTATTTCCACCTTCACGTTTGTCGTCACCCATGAACGCTGTAACCAAGTCCAAGCCGTAAATCTCTTCGAGACTCTTATCACGACCCGAGAGTAGCGCATCTTTAAGGAGCTGAACAGCACTACCGTTACTTCGATTGTTAAACCCTTCCAAGTCTTTACCGCAACGCCGATACTGTGCCTGAAATCGCCGGGATTCAGCAACCAGCCACTCTGCGTCTACATTTTTTGAAATATCGACCACCACGATAGGGACCGGAGACACGGTGTCTTGCACAGCGTAATTGGTACTAACAGAGCGAGCCGCAGCACCTGCAAAAACTTCAACTCTTCCCTCATCGGTGACAGTAACACTTCTAAGGCTATTCAAACCAGTGCTGATGTTCTTACTGGGGATCAGCGTCTCTATTCCTTTAGCCACAACACGAATTCCATCGAGCGAAATATAGTTGTGGCGAAGATCAATCTCGTGAATGTTGCTCGCGTTGGACTCAGCGCTGACGATTCCAGCCACCAACTTCTTTAAAAATACAAGTAATCGACCCATTCCCTCACTTGTAAGGCGGTTGTAACGCATGTCGACGCGTTTCAGTCTTCCCATACCTTCACTATCCAACAGTCTTAAAATTGGTCGCAAATCGTCATCTACAAGCCAGCACTCGCGCAGCTCTAAGCAGTCGGAAGAAGGCCACACTACACCGTTCGAAAGAGAAGTCGATGTTGCTCTACAGAATGTGTCTGCATATTTGTACACGAGCTTCGACTTAGCAGTTCGCACTGCGTGAAATTCCGTCGTCAGCTCTGTGAGTTTCTCCACAAGTTTCTGTGTTTTGTCTTGAATTTGTTTCTTTTGCTCGAGGCATTCACGAACGTTACCCTCACACTGTCGCCGTACGGATTCAAGTTGATTCTTGAGCAATGTCCTTTCCAGTTCCAGTTCCGCTCGAGTTTGCGACTCGCGATTGACTTCGTTAACTAATCGATGAATGCGCTCCTTCTGTTCCAGCGTGAGAGCTTCTTGCGCACTAAGCAATTGCTTGGTCTCTCGATATTTCAGTTCATGCTGCTTCTCTACTGCTAGTCTCTTGGCCATTCCTTCCTCCATCCCCTCGAGCTGCTTTTGAAGCGCTACGATCTCATTTCTCGCTCCGGCTAGGAGTCTGCTTTGCCTCTCGAAATCGCCAGAAAAGCTTGTTTTTTGTGAAGACAAGTTCGTCTCGAGCTGCTTCTTACACCCCAGAGAATCTTGTAAGACTCGTTCTAGCTCCTGCATCCGACATTGCGCTGCCATCAGTTGCTCCTCGGCGATTTCGCGACGGTCAACCGCCTCATGCAATCGAGCCTCGACTTCCTGAAGCTTTAGCGTGAGTTCGTACTGCTTGTTTCGCCGCATCACGAGCTCGCCCTGCAACTTCTCGATCTCCATTTGATAATTCAGATGCGAAGATGATAGTTCCTCCTGCAAAAGCTTCCGTTCGCGACGAGTTTTTTCTTGCAAGGCATCCACCGCCGACGCCTTTTTCTCCGCTTGTCTGGTTCGATGTAGTACTTCCACTTCGTACTCAGCCGAACGCGCAATATGCTCATGATGTGAACTACGAAGCTGTTCACACTCTCGTACTCTATCGTCGAGTCTGGCTTTGAGTCCTTCCGAATTCCGCTCTTGAGCTTCAAGGGCCTGCAGCAGCTTTTCATTCTGGGTTGTGGCGATCTCCATTGCCTTTTCACGCCCTTCAGCCTGACTGCGACTCACCTGTAGAGCTTCAATTGCTGCCTCCAACCGATCAATTTTCCGCTGCCGTCGCACCAGATCGTTCTCCTTTGAGATGACGTTTCGCTGTAGTTGTTCCAGTGCCGCTTCCAGTGCGTCAAGCTGCACTCGTAATTGGTCATTCTGGCCCGACAACAGCCAAACTTCTCGCGTCTTGGCCTCAATCGCATCGTCACGTAGTCGAATTAATTGACTTTCATGAAAACTTCGAGGCGAAAGACACGCATCAGCCTTCTCCGGTTGCAACTCCTCGACATTCTTCTCCAGCCGACGGATGATTGCTTGATGTCGATCCACTTCTTTCTTCAGTTGCTTCTCCGTGTCAGCTGCTGCTGCAAGGTCTCCATTCTTCTTAACTAACGTCTGCTCTCTCGCATCCAATGCTGCACACACCATAGCGAAATCCTCTTCCCTTTTTTTCACCTGTTCACGAAGCTCTTCCAGCTGTGAATTCGCCTTGTGCATTCCTGTTTCCATTGTTTGAGTCTCGTTCGTCTTAGCGTCAAGTTTCGCCGTCAACGTCTTGATCTGCTCCAGTAGTTCATCGACATATTCCGTCTTCCGAGCTAGTAAAATCTCCTTGGCATTTATTTCGGCTGCCTGTTTCTCTGCCAGCAACTTAAATGCTTGGGCGGCGTCATCTAATTCTACGATCGTCTGCCTTAACTGATGAACCCAAGCGTGAACAGCTTCTGGATCATGCAGATCCATCTCTTCCTCCTCTTTCTCTTCTTCGACTCGATCGTCGACCATGAACACAAAACTGTTGATACTGACGCCACGGGTCGGATCTAATCTAACGGTCGCTCGATCTTGATGGGGTTCCTATTATTTACCTGGATCGTGCGGCTTCTTCTCTCTAGTTTCACACCCGCGCAGTCTTTTGTGGTGTCGGAGGTTAATTGCTCTATCGCGGACGAGGCTCAGAATGCATCGGTGACGTTAAATTGGAAGTTATTTGATGGCGACGTCGCCTACACGAGAATTTCTCACTCCAGCGAAGCTCTACTAGGCGCTACTTCTTCTGTATCTGACCGCCTCTTGATTCTCGGTGGTATTGAATACGAATCCGCTCAACCTGTGGTCGACAGCCCAGTATTAGTCTACAACACAGCGTCAAATATGTTCCTCAAGCCGCAGGACCAAATCCTCTCAGCCGTGTCTGCAGCGTATCAACCGTCTTCGATTGAGACTGTGTTCACGTCCCCAGCGAGTCGAGCTGAACACGCTTCGTTCATTGACCAGGACGGAGCTGTGTTTGTCTTCGGTGGGCGAAGTCGAGATTTTGCCAATGATACGTGGCGAGGGTGTCTCGATTCCAGCTCCACTAACGTGGTTTGGGACGAATTGGTCACTGCCACAGACGCCACTACCGTCGCAGCGACTCCTTCGCCTCGTATCGGTCATTCCTTCACCAAAGTGTTCGAAAACAGTACAATGATTGGTGCTCTAGTCTTTGGAGGGCTATCAGAAGCCTACGTAGAGCTAAGTGGACTGCATTTGGCCTTCATTTTAAAAGGTTCTTCCTCTTCAGCAGCGTGCACAAACCGAGGACCGAAACTCGTCTGGAGGATGCTAAAAGCTGGGCCTTTGACAGATAATGGCGCAGTTCCAACTGCTCGAGCGTATCATGCAGCCATGACATCGTCGAAAATCTTCACGTCCTTGAAACTCAAGTGTGTCATCCTCCACGGGGGGAAAAGTGCGATCGAAGGAGTCATTTTCAACGAACTGTGGAGGTTGTGTCCTTCGGTACCCCACGTGTCGGTACCAGTGGAGAGAATGAACTATACATGGGAGCTACTGACAGAGATCGGAACTACACCTGGTGCTCGATACGGGGCCAGTATCTCTTTCGTAGACGAAGGCAAACTCGCTCTCGCTGGAGGTTCCTACACGTTTCCAAGCGATTTCCTTAGCGATACATGGGAGCTCAACGTCAATGCCACGCAGTGGATTCGACTTTCCTTCTCTGAAGACTACACTCCTCCACGCCGAGGCCATACACTCTCCTTCTTCTCGACAGCTGCGCGGTTGTTTCTCTTCGGGGGTAGAGATCGCTATGCTGTCGTCAAGAAGAGGATGCAAGCTGCTTATTACGGTGCTCCGTTTTGTGCGGCGGGTCTCAAGATCACCTTCTGTATTGCCACGTCCAAGTATGTCTGTATCGCGTGTCCTGCTGGTTCCTATCTGGAAAGCGGTTCCCGTAAGTGTCTTCTGTGTCCACCAGGAACCTTTTCGTCTGCGGGGTCGTCAGAGTGCACGACATGCCCACCTGGAACCTTCAGTACTGAAATCGGTAAAGACAGCGATTCTCCATGCACTTCGTGTCCTTCAGGGACCTTTTCTCAAGCTATCGGTGCCGTGTCAAGCGCTGCGTGTAATTCTTGTATAGCTGGCACCTTCGCAGTATCCCCCGGGTCGATGTCTTGCTCCAGTTGTGCGGCTGGGACATTTTCGAGTGCCAACGCGTCGACGTGTTCAGTGTGCGCTCGAGGCAAATGGAGTGGCGTTGGAGCTGGAGGTTGCACTGATTGTGCTGCTGGCACGTACGCCCCAAGTACAGGATCGACTGCGTGTTTCTCCTGCCCAAGAGGATATTTCAGCAAGACTGGTGACGTCGCCTGTTCGGCCTGTTCGGTCAATACGTACAGCTCGGCGGTTGGGGCTTCAGCTTCAGATTGTCACGTGTGTCCCTCGTACGCGTTCACAACTTCCAGTGGACAAATCTTATGTAAAATTTGTTCTCCTGGCTCGTCCTGGACGGGAAGTATGTGTCAGCTGTGTAGTAAAGGGTACTACACCTCAACCGCTACCAATGGAGCATGTCTTGCATGTCCAAAAGGGTCATACACGTCAGATTCTGGCTCTACGCAGTGTCAAATTTGCCCAACTGGAATGTTCACAAGCGGCACGGGAGTTACGAACTCGAGCGACTGTCAACTTTGCGCCGCTGGATCATTTTTCAATGGAGTAGCCTGTCAGACTTGCGGTACTGGGACGTATCCCGAGCCGAGGGGCTTCTGCTCACCTTGTACTCCTGGCAGTTACTACCCCGGCGGAGTAATGTCTAGTTCTTTAGACACTTCGTTAGGCTGTACTTCCTGTCCGTCGATGAGTTATAGCGGACTTGGAGCCACTGGCTGCTCTGTCTGTGGGGACAGAAGTTATTCCATGGAGGGATGGAGGAGCTGCATCTCCTGCGGCATATCTCAGACATCGTTACCCGGTTGTGTCACTGGTCGCAATGGTCTCTTGTGCTCTGGGAAGGGAGATTGCGTCTATGGAGGGTGCGCCTGTACCTCTGGCTGGGTGGGTGGGGACTGTAGTTTGCCTGTCGACAATACTGCCATGACAGGAGCTGCAGCAGTTCTGTTCTTCCCTGATGCGCCATTTCAGCTGATTAACGCGTTGTCAGCATCAGCACCAAGCGACATCCAAGTGAAAGTGGCTCGATCTGGGACCCTCAATTCTCGACTGCAGGCCATGATCACCTGGAGCTCGAGCGATTTCTCTGCTAGGCCGTCGTCGCTGCCTTTAATACTCGATTTTTCTTCGGGCGAATCTCAAAAGATCATCCAGATATCCACAACGCAACTCTCACCAAGAAGTGGCTGTCGATTTTTTACTTTGTCGTTGAAAGACGTCACTGGAGGAGCTATTAGCGCCGTATCGTCCGATTTGGACCGTGTCTTGACTGTATACCTTGACGACATAAACGGTGTGTCGGGTGGAGTGACCGGGAGAGCTGTAACCTCAACGTATTCACGACAGATCAATGGCACAGCGATAGCTGCAGTGGTGTCGGATCGTCTGGTATCGACACAGGTAACGCTATCTCCTCAGACTACGGGAGTGTCACTACGAGACCTCCCAATGAATCTGCTGATAGCAATCGATTTTTCCGCTTCTTATGTGCCTTCTTTCATCAACTTGCTCCCCGCCATCGTCGCTCAGCTGCAGATTGTCTACCGAACTATACCCGATGGCGTTCGACTGGGTCTCGTAGATGGCACTGCCAAGCCAACTGCAGCGTTTTACTCTGATCTTGTGGACTTCTTCGACGCTGTACAAGCACTCGCTGCATCAAGCGTCGGAAATGCGCCAGTAGATTGGGACTATGTAGCAGCAGGCTTAGCGGCAAGTTATCAATCGTGGCCTTCAACTGACCGTCGACATCTGCTTATCATTGCAGGCGACGCTCTTGTTGGCGACGGATACGTCACTCTTCCGTCTACATTGCTGGACCAGTTGCGTTCCCAGAGTGTCTTTGCATTTATACTATCTCAGACACAAGTTACTTTCTCCAATGGCAGCGACGTGATCAAGAGTGTGGCGTTCGGTACATCACCAGCCATTCCTGTGACACTTCGCCAAGCATTTGAACAGAAGGATAGTGCTCTACCCTCGAGCGTGAACCTCCTCAACGACTCAGCTAAACTGGCATCTTCTGCCCAAGTGATAGGATTCTCCAGTGGCTCGAACTCCCTCCCCGTCATTCGCGTTACTATGGAGCCTTTTCCACCAACGGCACAACTCCAGGCTGTCACGATTGGTGTACCGGGTGGGCCGTTGCTAATCGTTTCAGTAAACGAACCTGGACACGCTTGCTTCCCACCAACACAGACAGCTCCAGTTGACTCGCTCCCGCTGAGTGGATGGGCTGATGCGTGGCATCTCGCAAGCTTATTCGACATCAAACGTCTCTGGAAGACTTCTGCGCAACTGGCGATACGCGAAGACACTTCGCTACTGCGTAAATCAACCAGCACTGTTCTGTCAGTCTGCGACTCAGTATCGACGCAGTTTAGCTTAGTGAGAACGTACCCGGGCTCGTTATTTGCTGCTGGGTTGTCGTTGATCTCTCGTGGATACTGGAAGTCTTTTGATAGCAAGACGGCCTGTGAAATCCTGCTCACTATGACTGGTACCAACACGAGTCTAGAGGTCTACAACAAAGTTCCGTTCGCCTCCCGAGTCGTCCCAGGTGAGTGGAACTATGGCTTCTCGCAGATCATTATTCCCTGGGAGCTGAGCAGTCTGATTGTTGCTCTAAAATGCAACACGTCGGCTCCTGGAGAAGTTGTCGAATGGGCGGCACTTGGACTGCTCCCTGACCCCGACTTCGCCTGCAAGTGTCCTCGTGGCTTCTATCAGGACTCTCTCTCTGACTCGAACGACGAGGGTAGAGCTTGCATACGTTGCGCTGCGGGTTCATACTGCACTGCTGGGATCAAACGACAGTGTCCGGATGGCACGTTTTCCTTCGGAAAAGCAGCTTCTTGCGAGGCCTGTCGGGATGGCTGGATTTGCACCGACGGACTGGCACGACTTTGTGACCCAGGAACGTACTCAACGCCTTCATTTACCTGTAAAATCTGCCCGAGCGGCTACGCGTGTCGAAACGGGAAGAAATATGTGTGTCCAGTGGGCACGTTCTCGCTAAGACAAGCTAGTGAGTGTCAGAGTTGTCCTCCAGGCACAATTTCTCGCTCGGAAGGGTACGTTCTGCTGTGATCAACGCATATATTTTGAAAACAGGTGAGTGAGATTAGAAATACTAACCTGTGGCTCGTAGGTCGTCCACTTGCGAACTCTGCCCACTTGGATGGACATCCAACCATCAGCGTGGCCACTGCGTCTCTTGTCTGCCTGGCGAAGCAACTCTATACACAGGACAACACCTTTGTTCTTCCTGCGCTGCTTCAGCCTTTCCGATCCGCAACCAACCTGAGGTGTGTCTCGAATAGACGATGGCTGTTCGTCTCATCAGTAGAGCCAGCGTATATATTAATTATCGCTCAGCTAAATCACACACGCGCTACGAAGGCAGCCACACGCTGTTTAATTTTGCTTGCAGACCTGTTGACAACAGAATACAACGCATATGTCAGGCTACGAGCGTTGACGACTACAAAACACCAGTCCAACCTTTGAGCTCGAAGAACCACAGCTTCATTGTCCGCCGGCTTGTGCACATCCGAGTAATCGGGGATGATCCGTTGGCCACGCACATCGTCGCGTGCCTTGCCGTCCGCTGCCTTCTTTGCGACGTCAGCCCTCATCAAGACGAGATCACTGAGACATTCACGAATACCCTTCTTTGCGTCAAACTCCTCCGCCAACGTTGCCAGCTCATAGCGAGAACTGCAGCGCAAATGGCGAAAAGCTGATTAATGATCCAACAGATCGACACCTTTTCTGGAGCATGATGATCTTACCTGTCCACGGACCCAATAGTACCGTCAACAGCAACGTAGCCACTCTCGACAAGTTTCAGCAGCTCATCGAGAGCGTAAAGCTTGATGAAGAAGGTGTACGCCGAGATCCCCGATCGACGGGATGATTCACGCATGTAATTCTTTCCCAAACCTCGCACTTGTTTGTCAGTGTACACAGCTTCACCGCTCGGGAGGTTCATCTTCGCCTTGCCTTCTGCAGCTTTAAGCTCTGCACGCGCATCTAAATAGAAATAATCGAATTAGGTCGGTAAAGTATGAAAGGCATCGCAGCCCACCTTTCATGTACTGGATGATCTCTGGGCGGAAAATGGCTGCCTCGATGTACGTGCGCTTGGATTTATTGCGCGAGCGAAACTTGTGCTCGTTCCGAAGAACAGTGAACACACTGCTAGAGAGCACCCACCTGGCGTATAACAGCATCGTTAGTCGAGGTTATTGACCCACAACATTAGCGAGTCAACACACCCCGGAGTAATCTCATTGATCGCTGGAGAAAGCGACAAGATGGTGTGACCTGGCGTGTTGATCAGAGCGAAAGGCATCGTCACCAACTGCGGCAGCGTATTGACCGCAGTTGCGACCACGGAATACGGCGCCTTGACGAAGTTACTGGGGAACTTGACGTTGCACCCCAGTCCAAAGAATACACCTTCACCGTGAAAGAGTTCCTGGTCGGGGGCCTTCAGAGTGTGATTGCTGCCGACATTCGCTCCATAGCCGATGTTTCCTTTGCCCTGTGGCCAGATCGAGGCAATCAAAAGTGCCTGGTGATGGAACCCCACAAATGGACCCACAAAACTGGACGTCACTTCTCCTTCAGCGACACAAGTGTTGGGTCCAATCACGGAGCTCACGACAATTCCATGACGCTCCACGTGCGACGTATCACACAAGAAGGAACCTTCAACCACACTGAGCGACTCGACAGTCGAGTTCCAGTGTACGATCGAGTCATGGACGATGCTCTTGATTCTGACGACAGATGGCTCCTCTTTCGTCGATAAGATGGTCGAATTGGTGACATCGCTGTCCTCCAGGACGGCATATCCACCCACAAAAGTCCCTTGAACACGGGGACACCCACGTACCCGCGAGTACTTGGCCACAATGGCCATTGGAGCTTTCACTGCTGCCACATAGTTGTCCACGAAGGCGTCGTATGTCTTCAAGAAGTCGCGATCTCCTCTTGTTGTGGCAACTGCTGCTCCCAGAGAAAAGGGGAGATCTGCAACTACACGGAGGTCGCGACCGCCAATTTCAACTCCGACGTGGAGTAAGTTGCCATTGGCAGAAACTGTGCCGTCCTCGGGACCCGCGACGCTGCCACATTTTATGATCAATGCCCGAGAGTCGACGAGTACGTTTCGAAGAACCAGAGTGTCCCTCACTAGCGCGTCATCCAATACCACCACGTTGCTGAGTGCTGAGTTATAGACGCCGCACGGGAACGGGATACCGTCTACGTCGTGGCTAAACGAGGCCGAGAAGCGACCGAGCGCCACTTTCCCATGGAACGAGCACTGGCGAATGCACGACGTCTCCAGCGGAGCGTTTGGGTCAGTTTTGCACACATTCTGCCAGTTCTTAGCTGTAAGACGAGGCAAAGCAGGAAATCAGAATCGACCAACCATACTAAATGAACAAGAGCTACGAACCGGAGTTGCCGTTCGCTTCCAGCGCGCGGATCTCGCCGTCCGACAGCGGGTAGAAGGCGCTGCAGAAAAGTTCGCGGCGGGACTGCACGTAGCGCACGTGGTCGGAGTCCAGAAGCGCCGAGAGATCGTACTCAGACAAGTTTGAAGCGCGACGCGCCACCTTCTCACGGCGCTCGTCGTGCGGCATGGGCTGAACGTTGTAACAATCATTCATAAAACCTGGTTGCGATATATTACGGACCGTAAGTTATTTTGTGTTCCACACGCCAACTATTTTTCTTAACATATAAGTACTGTTTTAATTTTGGCGGGAAGTGCACACTCGATTCAGCCGCCACCGGATCATGGCTGGCCTAAAGCGCGAGTCTCCACCCTCTGCGACCACCAATAGCTCTGTGGAGCCCAAGAAGCCGCGACTGAGTGTTCATGGCGCCAAGGCTGATCCCACGACGTTCGCAGATGATCTGGAGAACATGGCTCCTATCTCCACGAAGGCGAGCTCGTGGCCCCGCAAGTCCTTGGCGCCGATAGACCCGAGTGCAGATTCTGTGTCTTTCCAGTGGATTGACATCGACATGTACGACGGCCCTCCCCTAAAGATGAACCCTAAGAAAGGGGCGCCTGTGCCTGGACTCAAAGCCTCAGACGACAGCAGCCAGAACGCAGCTATTATCCGCCTTTATGGTGTCACTATGGAGGGCCACAGCGTCCTCATGCACGTACATGGTGTTCTTCCGTATTTCTACGCTGTCTGTCCTGATAACTTCGACGAGAGCAAGTGTGGTGAAGTGCGGGCGGCGCTAGACGCAGCGGTGAGCCAGCGGGACCGAGACAGCAGCAGCAATGCTCGCGTCGTGGGCGTCCAGGTCGTAAGAGACAAGATGTCCATCTATGGCTACCAATTTGACCGCAGGACGACGCTCTTCAAGATCTTTTTGAGTATGCCCAGCTACGTCCCCAAACTGAGGAGCGCACTGGAAGGAGGACTTACTCTTCCCGGCTGTGACTTCCGCAACTACCAGACATACGAGAGCAATGTGCCATTTATTCTCCGCTTTATGATCGACGAAGAGATCAGAGGATGCAACTGGGTGGAAGCCCCTACAGGAACATATTCCGTGCGCTCTGCAGCACAGAAGAAGTCGCTGTGTCAGTTGGAAATCGACATCACGTACGACAACCTTGTGAGCCACGCACCCGAGGGGAAATGGGGAAAAGTGGCGCCATTCAGGATCTTGAGCTTTGATATCGAGTGTATGGGCCGGAAGGGCCACTTCCCAGAGGCGGAGCAGGACCCAGTAATCCAGATCGCCAATGTTGTGCAGGAGCAGGGCTCTCATACGCCAATTATCCGCAATGTGTTCGTGCTGGACACCTGTAAGCCTATCGTGGGTGCTCACGTGATGGAGTTTGAGAAGGAAGGAGATATGCTGGAGAGTTGGGCTCGCTTCGTGCAGGAAGTGGACCCTGATATCATCACCGGCTACAATATCGCTAATTTCGACATCCCTTACGTGCTCAACCGAGGCAAAGCGCTCAAGCTGCAGAACTACAATCTCCTGGGCCGTTTGGCGAACTCGTGCGTACTACTGAACCTGTTATAAAAGGCTTTTTAAGGTAAAACTGACGATTTTCACCTGCATGACAGAGCGGCGTATATGGAGAAGAAAACCTTCAGCTCAGCGCAATATGGCAAGAGTGAGAACGTCAAGACGACGATCCACGGACGCTGCATGTTCGATCTGCTGCCGATCATGCGTCGCAGTCAGAACTTGAGCTCGTACTCGCTGAATGCCGTGAGTGCCGCGTTCCTTGGCCAACAAAAAGAAGACGTGCCTCACGGAATCATCAGCGACTTGCAGCGAGGAACAGATGACGATCGTCACCGTCTCGCAGTGTATTGTCTGAAGGATGCGTACCTGCCGTTGCGACTGCTGGACAAGCTTTCGTACCTCGTCAACTTCATCGAAATGGCTCGAGTATCTGGCGTTCCGATTGACTTTCTAATTGAGCGAGGTCAGCAGATCAAGGTGTTTTCAATGCTTCTACGCAAGTGCAAGGACGCGTCCCTTGTTGTGCCGACGCTTCCTCGGTCGCAGAACAATGAAGATGTTGGATACGAAGGTGCTACAGTTATTGAGCCTAAGAAGGCCTTCTACTCGGTGCCTATCGCGACGCTAGATTTTGCCTCGCTGTATCCGTCGATCATGCAGGCTTTCAACTTGTGTTACTCAACACTCGTAGCGCCTGGAGATGTGGACAAACTGGCTCCGGGCGACTATGAGAAATCCCCATCAGGTGACATCTTCGTGACTAGCAAGAAGAAGAAGGGAATCCTACCGCTGATTTTGGAGGAAGTGCTGGCAGCTCGTAAGCAGGCAAAGCGAGACATGAATGCCGCCACGGACCCGATGGAAATAGCCGTGCAGAATGGTCGACAACTTGCACTGAAGGTCAGTGCCAACTCTGTCTACGGTTTTACAGGCGCAATAGTTGGCCAGATGCCGTGTATCCCCATCGCGTCCAGTACGACCGCTTATGGTCGTCAGCTGCTGTTCCGAACGCGAGAAGAAGTTGAGCGTGAGTATACAATTGCAAATGGCTACAAGGCGGACGCTCAAGTGGTGTACGGGGATACGGACTCCGTCATGATCAAGTTCGGCGTCGACACAGTGGAGGAAGCCATGCCGCTTGCTGAAGAGGCTGCCAAGCGTGTGTCTGACATTTTCCCCAACCCAATCAAGCTTGAATTCGAAAAGGTATACTTCCCATACCTGCTGATGAACAAGAAGCGATACGCTGGTTTGCTCTGGACGAAGCCTGAGACGTACGACAAGCTGGACTCAAAGGGTCTGGAGACTGTGCGTCGTGATAACTGCTTGCTGGTGCGACGTATGGTGGACACTGTGCTGCGCAAGATCCTCATCAATCGTGACGTACCAAGTGCCATCTCATACACGAAGAATATTATCTCGGATCTCCTGCAGAACCGCATTGATATCTCGCTGTTGGTGATCACAAAAGGCTTAAAAAAGACGGTGGATCAGGATGACTATAAGGTGAAGCAAGCTCACACGGAGTTAGCGGAACGTATGCGCAAGCGTGACCCAGGGTCGGCTCCAGCACTGGGTGAGCGTATCGCTTACGTGATTATCGACAAGGGTAAAGCCACTCCGCTGTATGAGAAGGCTGAGGACCCAGTGTATGCACTGGAGAACAATATCCCCATCGATTGCGACTACTACATGAAGCAGCAGCTGCAGAACCCGCTCGAGCGTATCTTTGAGCCCATTATCGGTTTGAGCAAGGTCAAGTCCGATCTCCTCAACGGTGCCCACACCCTCAAACGTTCCAAGCCTGTGCTAAAGCAGAACAGCGGTGGCATGATGAATTTCGCAGTCAAGAAACTCAAGTGTCTGGGCTGCAAGGCCCCGCTGAATGGGAAGGGCGCTCTTTGCCGCAGTTGCGTTGAGCGCGAGGCGGAGGTTTACTCGCGCCAACTCCTGTCGGTCAACGAGCTGGAGCACATGTTTGCGCGGCTGTGGACCCAGTGCCAGAACTGTCAGGGCAGCCTGCACCAAGATGTCTTGTGCTCCAGTCGCGATTGCCCGATCTTCTACAAACGTATTAAGGTGCAGAAAGACCTCGGAGAAGCCCAGGCGTCATTGGAGCGATTCCAATCTGTGGACTGGTAAGGTGGTCGATGTGGCTACTGTAGTAGCATCTTAATGGAAATACAAGCCTTGCAAATGCAAGTACGATGATGACGATTTTGTGAAATTTTAGCAAGTCGGGCTCTCCATTTGGAAATATGAATTCTTTTCCCCGGCATGTTTAACATTACTACTGTAGTAGTAAATTAAGAAGCAAGGTCCTCTGTTACTACTTCTGCAGAACACAGCAAAAAACGCACTCTCTACTGCTAGTCCTGTCCCCCAAGTTCACGTATGTCATGTCAACTTCATTCCATTCCCTGAAGTACACCATAAAGTGATGGAGCATTGGGCGTGGCAAATCGATTCAGATTCTAATTACTGGTAAAGATGTTTTGGGTGAGATGCACATTGCATTGCAATCCTGTCAAGACTGTCGCCACTATTTAGCCGCCGTTTTTTCATTGCCGTTTTGCAAATAGAATTGCGCAACCTGCACCCAAAGCCGTTTTTCCGGCAAGAACGACCCGTTCGCAGAAAGGAAACGAAACTACTGGGATTATTGTCAATTTTGCGGTGGCTCAGAGATGAATTCATTTCCGACAGACCCGTTTTGTTGAATGTTTCCTTCAACGCTCACTCATAAGGGCAACGCCTAACCAAAACAAACGGCCGTGATGTTCGTGTTCAGCACCAAAAACGTTCTGGCCGCAAGATCTGGAAATAGAATTCGTTCTCATTCGACCCATCCCCTCGCAAGCTTCGTCCTGAACTTCTTTTTCATTCTGCAAGTTGCCTCGGCTCACTCAGTGCATATGGCGACACCCACGCTGCGCCACGACCAGCTCCATCCCACGCTGCGCTTCCCACCGCCAGCCCTAATCGACTTTGCTACGACACGACCTGCGCCGCAGTGGTCGGCGACGAACGATCACCTGCGAGCAGATTCCGTATCCAGATTTAGAAGAGCTACCGATCTTGACCACTACCCCGTGTTGCCCAAGATCGCGTCGCTCCTAAAGTGCAGCAGTAGCAACGTAGAGCTTCGGAATTTGCCGCCTCCAGTCGAGAAAGAGACGATGAAAAATCACAAGAGGACAGAAACAGCAGAAGGAGGGAGACCCCCGAGGATCTACGAATCGATTGCAGCCAGGTCCCCTCGCAGCATCTTGGGAGCCGACAACCGAGCACGATGTGTCTCTCCTTCCGGTCTCGACTGGTATCACCGTACGCCTCTGTCTGCTGCACGGAGTATACCCAACAAGACTAACATCCCCGCCATCTCGAGGGAGATGCATCGTGCAGAGATCTGCCCAGAGTTCGGAGTCGCACTTGTCGCTGTCAGTACACCTGCCATCGTTTCGACAGCGCCGCTCTCCACGCCAGCAGTGCGCCGAGTGCGCGACGATCCCACAGAGCGTCTTATCTATTACCAGCACAAACTTCACATTCCAGCCGAGATTCCGGTGATCCATGAGACGCTCTTAAGTATCCCGAGGAAGCAGGCAAGAGCGACCAGACCCCAACGTCAATGGTCTCCCTCACACACGCATCCCGTTCACTATGAGCGACATGACGAGGAGATCGACCCGAGTAGTCGGAAACGACGTCGCTTGATGACCTCCCCGACACCAACATTTCCTTCTCGTAAACCTCTCTACGAGTCTGAGTACGGGCTTACTATACTGGAAACATCCAAGCCACTCATGCGATCACGATACCCTCCCAGCCTAGAATCTGTTGTACAGGAAGGAGATGGCCTCGTCTCTCGACGGTGCTACGCCCGGACCGACTCGAATCATTTTCAGAAAGCCAAGCTGTCGTCCCCTATGGACTACAGCGAGAGTGAGAGGAGATTTAGAACGAATGATGTTACTGAGGCCAGCACACCCCGCGTTCAAACCATCGTGGAAAAGTGCGAGTCAACTTCGTTGGCGACGTTGGTGCTGAAATCCAAGGAGTTTCTCCAGTCCAAGAACCTCGTGCGCAATCGCCACGATGAGATCGATTGGGTTGCAACGTTTCTAAACGTTGGTTTTGACTCGTCGAGTATCTACGCTCTCATGTGTCCGCTACGCAGAGGACGTTGGAAATCCGAGGAAGAAAACTACACGATGGGGTTGCTTCGTCTCATTGAGAACGGTACAATTCTCCTGCGTCACGGCCAGAGTATTCGAGGTTTCATTGGCGAGAAGCTGCACAGCGACGATATGCGAGTGCTCAAGAAATTGAGTAACTGCAAGATGTTCCACTTCGCTAAGCTCATCAACCCGAGACTTGCAGAGGAGGAGAGGCTGGACATGAATGTGGAAGATGCTCAGGCCAAGCTGGAGCAACTAGACCAACTCAAGGACGAGTTCTTACGCTCGGTGCAGCTAGAGGCGCTCGTTGCTGTGCGCAAACATCTCAGCGACAACTCCCTGCGCGAGCTACTTAACGTGCGTGCCTAAGTCTGGCAACATAGTGTTAGTGCTAAGTTGCGTCTTAAGGTTAAGATGTGATATCCTTTCAGCTCTGTCCTTTACCGCCGTGTTACAGTTCTTTCGACACAGTCAAGGTGGAGGATAAAGGACTGTTGTGGTGCTGTATCGGTCGGTTTTGTTTCCTGAACTTTACTAGCGGCTACCGTCGCAAATTGACCAGATTTTATTCCTGGCTGCTCACACGCTCTAAATGTGTTCAACGCCCGAGCATTCGTTCTTCCACGAAATCGGTCCTGGGCCCATCCGCAGCCATGAAGCGAGGTGACGGTGTCATTAAAAGTGACGAGGTGGATCCATCTGAACCGCGTAAGTGCAATTTCACGTTGCAGATTGACGCCTCAGTGGAGCAAGGGACCTTTGAAGCACCGGGTTTCCGCTTCCGCTTCCTCGATGGTTCCAGGAAGCAGACCAGCGCCGTTGGTTGTGGACATGGCTGGACACAACTCCAGGACAACGAGTCGCCTGAATACTCTGCAGATTGTTTCCGCTTCGAACAGAATTTCCCTGACGTTGCAGTCTCCGAGTTATTCGCAATGGCCATCAATGATGACCCCGTTTTGTCATTTTTCCTATTTGATCATCCTGGTCTCGCAAACACTGGAGTCACTCCGCGTACACAAGGCAAGGAGGCTAAGCCTTCCACTGCAAAAACACCCGCTGCAGTTGTGCCAGTGCCCACACCAGCAGTTGAATTCTCTCCAAAAGCCTTTGCAGGCATATACGAGATGGACATCAGTAGTCTACTCTCAGGTGAGCTTCACGTTAAGCAGGTGTGGGGCAACCCCTTGCAGTCTGGAAGCGAGACACAACCGTCTTCCCAAAGTCTCTGCTTGATGCCAACGGCGTCTGGGCTCAAATATCTTTGCATCCAGCTCAAAGTAGATCAACCATTGCTCACAGGAGAGCTGTTGAAAAGGCTTAATCCACTCACGATCACTATTGGAACGGGGCGGCATTTGCCTGGAATTGTGAGTCAAGGGACCGGAATGAAATCTCCACACTCACCTCTTCAGCACCACTGCAAGCCAGCCTTCGCGTTGATCCATTTCTTCCCAGATCAGCTTCATGCAATAGCAACACGTTCCTTCAACCCCAGACTTCGTCACACTGTTCCTCGTCTTTTGATGACACCGGGCCAGCGTCAGGTAATTAATACCCATCTCCACCACTAATTGCTTCGCTAACTCCACTGTTACCATGTCCAAAAAAAAGAGTGAGACGATACGATGGAACGCGAGCTTGACTCTTCTCTGTGGTCGCTTCAACCCTCTGGAGCTTGTTGATGCCATTCGGTATACGTCCCTTACCATAGAGATCCGAGATAGGGACTTGAAGCAGGAGGAAACACTCGCACAGTTCCAGGTAAAGTGGGAAAGCTTGTACATGACGGGTGTGGACCCAGGGGGGCAACAGCAAAAGATCGTTACCACGTTGTCTCGTATCACGCCTCGCAGCATTGAGACAGACCAAGTTGGAAATTCTCCCACCACGACAGCTCAACCAATGGAGCTGACAGAAGTGGATGATATTGCGCGTAGCGATTGGAGAATGATGCTTGCAAACTCTGGTCGACTCTTTCCGTACGGTCTAGCCACATTTCGCCTTACAGAGCTTCTCAATTTGGCAAAGCAGCGGATGGGTGGGATGAAGGCGAACAGCGACCGATCCCATATGGTGTTAAAGCTCACTTCAGACGTAATCTCCATGAAGCGACGTGCAAGTCCACTCGGCACTGCCACGTTGAGCGAAGAAAGCGATCTCCCCGCAACAGTTGACTTGTCCCCACTTGAGAAAGTCATCCGTGAGCCTGGCGCCTACATCTCCACCGGTGCCTCACTCAGTATCACCGTTGAACTACAGTCTCCAATCGAAATACTTAGTGCAGGCTCAGCGGATGCGCTTCCCGCATCGGCCGAAAGTGAAATCGCAGCCTTGAAGTTCTCTAGAATAGTCGTGATTATTCCTTACAAAGACAGCTCTACACTTGGAGAGGTGACAAAAGCCATGACAAACGTAAACTTGAAGGCACTTCCTGGCGTCCCCATTCGCTCGTATCAAATGACGGAATCTGAGAAGATGGACTGTGAAACTGGAGCCTTGGACGTCGTCACCGGTGCCCAAATCATCGACAGCCAATTTCGCATGGTCATCTTGGAAGGTCTCGTAGATAAAGGCATGAAGTATTTGCATCAACAGCTACAACGTAAGGGACCAAACGACCCGAAAGGATGCCGAATGTTCTGCAACGATGAGCTCCGCTTCACACGACGACTATACACCGAATTCGAAATCGATTTAAAGCGGATCAAGCTTCGTTATCCGCTCTCCGTGCTGATGACAACACCTGACATATACATGCGATCCAAAGTCTCTGCAAACTGTCACCAGGCTCTCGCTCGTCTCGCCGAAATGCGCAAAGTCCAGCGTCTAATTGAAGTAAAGCATCTCGATCTCTTCCCCACATCGCAGATGCTGTTTGAAGTCGAGAGTAAATACGGAGAGAGCGTCACACTGGAAGATATCTACGGTACAAGCGGGGACTCTTCCAAATCTGAGACCAACAACACGACATCTTCACGCGACAAAGCAAAGGAAGGGCGGCGCACCTTCGAATCCACGCGACGCCGTAACAATCGGCTCAAAGCAACCACCGATTCGACAAATGCCAATTTCGAGCTGTCACGTCGGAACCGGGTTGAGAAAAACTTCCTTTTGGAGCGCAAAAAGCACGCGGATCGCCTTCAAGCAGACTACGCCGAGAAGAAACAGGCTAAAATGCTTGAAAACACCTCGCAAGGACCAGTTTATCTATACAGCGGTCAAAAGCTGCGGGTATGTCTACATTGGTAAACACCGCGGATCACAGGGAATGATGATGTACTTACGCATATTTTG